TCAATAGATGGGGGGATTTGGGAAGTTTACTCTAGTATAGGGTAGCAAAATTCAGCTGAACTAGCTCTGGTATAGGCTAAGGGTTCCAGTGTCCCAGCGTCGATAGGATGGTTAAAAATGTATTCGTAGTCGGAGATATATTCATAGCTCCATGAAGCATGGTACATCTCGTTCCATTCACTTTGCCACTGTTTTTCCCCGATGTGTCTCGCAGGGCAGATCTTTTCCACAGCATCTGAGGCATTGGCGTGTCCATTAAGCCACTGCACCTGCTCGCGTGCAGCATAGTCCCCTCCACTAACTATGCGTGCAGCCATAGTTTTCACTTTCACGTGTTACTGCGGTACACATAATAATAATAATAATAACTAATAATAATAATAATAAATTATTATTATTATTAATTATTGTTATTATTACTTTCACGTGTTTCTGCGGTACACAAATGAATGATAAGTCCACATTGCGCACAAGCTGGAATATTGATTAGTGGGTCTTTTGATTCGTTTCAAGCAGTGATTGAAAATACCACTGAGGTAATGTTATTTTAATAGGACTTACTTTTTTTTCAACATTAAGTGTATAGCAGGCAAAAGAGGCCGTTTCTTTCGGATGGTTAAGGAACGTTTGCAATGTAATTCACAGTCATTTTAGACAAAGTGGACGCTTATCATAAAATTAAAATTTCTATTTATATGTATGTCACCAACTACCCACATAAACAAAGCAGACTGTATAACGAAAAAGTCCCTAAATGTTGGTACTGTATGGCGAACGTATACTGGTCGAATTATATTGCAACGTACCTAATTACATTGGAGCCGGGGAAATGGGGCGCTCTCAGTTTCGGGAATTCAATTAATTAGTGGATGCAGCGTGGCGAGTGGTTAGAGCGCCAGGTTTGAAATCCTACATTGGTCCTGGGTTCAAATTCCGTTCTGACCGCTGGCCGATGCTGTTCTCGGTAGCCCCGAGTTCAACTTCTCAGCTACGCTTGTAAATAGCCAACTGGTCTGCCTCCCGCCAGTTGGGATTCTTAACCTAGTTATGTTTAATTGAATATTAATTAATCATTGTTTGTTTACATTGGTCTTGAAAAGCCCCTATGGGGAGTGACCAATTAAGTATACATTTTACATACACTTTTAATTCTACGGTAATACGACATGCCTTGTCTCAATAACTAGCTTTGACATCTTATGCCTGAGTTATGTGCTTGTTAATGTATAGCTTTCTTAAGCTTCTCTTTGCGTCCAGGTTGAAACCCGTATCTACCATTTTTATATCAGTCACCCAGCTCGATTTGATACCGGGTGGAATTTTCTCCAATACTGCCGTGAAAATAATGCTATCCTCATCTTCAGGATTCATCCCTAGAAAGGAAGTATCTTTTTTTTCTAATTTTCTTCGAGAACTTTCTGGTTGACTACGTTCTCTCCTAACTGACAGTCAGTTTGCTCGAGGAACTGTGCGAGGTTTATTAGCTTAAGGGAAATTTGGCGCCGAAATTTGGCGTCATTTTGGCGCCACCACAGGTAGTACTCAGGTGGCTTAATGACCTGATCGTGACAAGAGTGATAAAAGCATGAAATTATTCGCACACGCCACGGCTTTAAGACCTGTGACTGAAACTCGCCCTAGCAAATATATATGTTCAGCGACACAATGATGGCGTGGATCGACTGGCGTGGAAAATGACGAACACATCATGTGACTGACCACCTGACTACTACAATCTTAGTTTCCAGTGCTCATCGGTTATCAAATCACGGTATCGTGAAGTGGGTTACAGATTGGAGATGTGTTTATTTATTCTTGGCTGTTTGGGTAGTTTGGACAGCACTGTAAACTGGTGACTTTCCAGTGGTTTTGTCATCCTATTAAACGTTTCTTGCAGAATCTGTTATCGTTCTTGATAATACAGTCTGGTTTTTACTGTTGTCGGTTAAATAAATCGGTATGAATCCTTGCGCGTGCGTTTTTGTTTGTCTTATAAATCACCTGGCAATCCGTAGCCTGTATTGCACCCAAACGTGTCACAAAATCTCCGGTAGGCGACGCAGGCTTCCAATCTCTCGCAATAATATATTTCTGTGGATGGCCTGGTGACGAGAATACTGACGGAAACGCTTACGGGAGTGGGGAACGGGGGAGAGGATAAATAGGAAATGACTTAATACCGCAGGTGGATAATTACATAAAAGTTGTTGTGTATCTCTGTATCTTGTGTTAGTTTACAGATACCAATAGCCCCCGTCCAAAAACATGAACATGTGAAGCGCAGAAGGATAAACAAGGAGTCGATCTCTCTTCCTAATGACGAACACATCATGTGACTGACCACCTGACTACTACAATCTTAGTTTTCAGTGCTCATCGGTTATCAAATCACGGTATCGTGAAGTGGGTTACAGATTGGAGATGTGTTTATTTATTCTTGGCTGTTTGGGTAGTTTGGACAGCACTGTAAACTGGTGACTTTCCTAGCTATTTTCTCATCGCCATCATATTCTGTGCTCCTAAAAAAGTTTTCCGTTTTTGTCAGTTTCTCTACCTTGCGTACTGAGGCGTGACTGCGCTCGCTCATAAAGAGGCAGTCAAAACCGCTGCCCTGCTACCGAAAAGACAATGTTTTTGTTTTTTATTATTATTCTCCCAATCCTGAACCTCTGCAATGACAGTTCTACTAGGAGTACTGCATCCTTTCTGTGAAAAAGTACTTGGTCTCGATCAAGTGCCAAAAATATTTCGCTCCCTACCTTTCCTCCATCCCAATTTTTGGCCATGAAAGGACCGTCTTTACAGCGCCACTGATCTTAAGATCCGCCTTTGCACTGTACCACGTGATCACTGAGCAATCGCTTCGTTACTATAGAAAACGCCAGGACGTATCACCGGATCACTAATTTCGTCATTTTGTCTATTGTTTACATTTATTTTATATACTTTACCATCAAATTGGAGTAGAATAAGACTCAACAATGACATAATAGCTAATAATAGATTAGGACGCTATATGCATACCTGAATGTTTCTATCGAGTTAAAGTTATGCGACCGGAGAAACCGATGTAAACATAAAATATGTTGTGTCATTTCTCTCATGAACGGATCGAAACTTGTTTTGCAAACGCATATCCGATTGCAAATTTTTGGTGAAACGTAGTGTGTGTTTGTCGTCCTTTGCGCCAGCCGGAGCTATGGGGATGAGTGAGTGAGTGAGTGAGTGAGTGAGTGAGTGAGTGAGTGAGTGAGTGAGTGAGTGAGTGAGTGAGTGAGTGAGTGAGTGAGTGAGTGAGTGAGTGGGTGGGTGGGTGGGTGAATGAGTGAGTGATCGAGTGATCGAGTGTGTGAGTGAGTAGTGTGTGTTGTTCTGGCTAAACGATTGTTTGGCTTTTTAAAGTGCACTTTCAACAGTCTTTCCTCCGCTCTTTGAGACAGCATCTGTTAATGAACGACATTGATGAAGTTTTTATGGAGAAAAGGCAATTTTACATCAAAAGCCAGCTGAAGGCATACATTATATAATATTTAATATGCAAACAGTTGTGAGGACAAAGGGTGCTGGTTGAATACGATTAAAGACAAAATCTTGGAAAGGATAGTGATAATTATTGCAGATACGATGTAAGTATGCTTCCATTGCCAAAATTCCAAGCTTTTAGTGCTAACTTCTGGTTTTCAAGCGAATCCTGGTGTCTGTCTCATGAAATTATGGTATATAGCTGGTATTGTAACATGAATTGGAAAGGAGTATGGTAATGTATGATAATTAGCTAGATGACTTACAACAAAAAGAATGCAGCGATTTTTGAAACCTCAATTGGCATATTTTCACCTGAAAAGAAATATTACCAAGAACCGAAGAATCAAACATTTCGTGAAAAATTTCCCGGAAATTGTTTTTCCGATGAGGTATTTCAATCCTCTTTTTTGTTTTGTTTGGTATTTCTTTACTTTCGCAGCTAAACGCGGCTGAATAAACCACGATCTTTCGTCATCCTTTCTGCGTAGTTGACGATTCAAAAACAGTTTTGTCACCCGAAATGCCGATGTTTACGGGAAAATTGAAACCTTCCAATTACTAACATATTTTCTTTTGAGTAGCATTTCAGAGAGAGTAACAGAGATGTTCTTTTTTTGTAAAAGCACGTTGTGAAACAAGCTCTAACAGACTCGACAATAAGGCTTTGTTTAGCTCGGTAATCAATACTCAAGTCTCTGTCTACGCAAACAAAAGCGCACGCTGTGGTTGAAATTTTCAGTCGAATGTTTTGAAGTCTAATATCCGAACCTTTCTTTAATTCATATCTTACTGTCGGATCTGCATGCTACCTGCCGCATAAATTACAGAAAATTGTAATATTACGGCTTAAAAGCTCATTAATCAATCCATCTATGGCATATAAACGGGCTAAAAAAAGTTATTTCGCTGAGAAGACAGCCCCTCAAGGCGTAGGTAAAAATATCTTACGCACGGACTGTCCGTCACGTGATCTCCATGGTAACACGCAGAACTACTACGGTGTTCTCTTCATTGATATTTTTATGTTTTTACCTTTAAAGCAATTTTAAATAAATATATATTTACGTGCTTCCACAGCTTTGTATCCTGATTGGACGAGAGCTTAAAAGCTTTCATTCAACAGCCAATTAAATCGCTGGAAAGCGACAACAGTCGCTTGGGTCATTGTTTGCATGAATGGAGCACGTGGGTAAATGACATGTAGCTGTCACCAACGGTGAGAGATTCTAACGTGCTGTGGGGTCCTTTGGCGGGTCAGCCACGTGCTTGCAGACCCAGTTCACCTGTATAAACGCAAGCTCCTTGATCCAAATCTTCAAATTCTGATGTGGCTGCGAGATGGCACCGTAAAAGGCAAACTGCCGCGAGCAGACCTCCTCGAACGCGACTTGAGCCAAAACAAGCTGGCGTGCGAAGGCGGAAATTTAACATGGCTTTCTCCGTTCAAGGGAGGAATTCCAGAATTTATTTAACAATCATACAGTGTTCACTCACTCGCGAGAGGATTTAAAAAATTTGCAAGTATGTTGGCGGGTAGATTGTTTTTAATTGTCCTTCTGGGGAGCGCCGTGCGACGGAGAGATATCGCTCGAGCAGGTATGTCCAGTCATTTTGAATACATTTAGACCGGAGTGAGCGAACGGTTCTGTTCTTCTGTATTTGTAGTAAGTACGATGGATGTGTCATTACACATTTGTTACTAGTTCACCCACGTGTTAAGTCCGGCGGTAGTTCAGCAATGCTCTTGTTTAATTCTAGTCTTGAAACAAAAACCTGCTTGTCGAAATGAATTCGGAAGGTCAATTTGAGATACCTGTCAGAGGTACGCTAGTTAGGGTAAAATATTGCTCGCGAGAATCTTCTTTGCGCAAATCGCCAAGGCTGGTATTATTCTGCGCCGAAACGACTTGTCTGATAAAATTCCACGATTTTTCATAAACTTAAATGACCCAGATCTGTGGATGATGCCCGAACTTGAATTAAAATTTGGCATCACAAAAATTCGATTCGTAAGCGCTTCACCCGAAACCGAAACAAACACATCACAGCTATTTTTGAATGAAAACAACATAATATTAATAAATTTTGCGATAACTGTCAGATGTTTAATTGTTCTATGTCTTACGCAAAAGAGTGCAACTCCGGCCCAACGCCAAGATATCTTCTAAAGATACTAGATGTAATTTTAGTTAGCCTTTTAATCTCCGATTTTCCCGTGCATATTGCTGCGAACTAAATAATATACCAACTTCATTCACAAGTACAACTTATGTTTGTTTCCATTTTTTCGCTAAATACTCCAGACTTATTCGATGCAATTTAACGAAATTGAGCAGGGATATAGAATAGAAAAAGAGCAATTACATTAAGCCTGTAAAATAACTCAGGGATAATTCTTTAAAAATGTTTTTTCAATTTTCTCTCAAGGAGAGGGGAGCGAAAATATCCAGAGAACCATTAGGAGAGGAATCGTAAACAAAATTTGTATATCAAACCATTAGACGGCATGTATACATCTATTTAAAAATATGACGCTTCGGGAAAACACCAGAATTATTTCCTGAAAATATGGTTGTCATGGAATCATATGATTCTTGGAAAAAATTTCAGTTTAATTCCCGAGACTGGAAATTATTGTAAGAAAAATACATCTCACATGTGTCATGTTAACTCTGGAAGCGGAAAAGTAAAATACCTACAAGTTCTAAACGATTTTCGGTGTTGTTTTTCGCTGCTTTTAACATGTAAATAACAAGAGCTTTTAAACTCGGTAAGGCGAAAAGGAGAGCAAAGATTTACGAGCGCCACAACCGGTTTTAGGTGTTTCTTAATTTAACCGATCTAGCTGACGACAAATTTCAAGAAGAAAGTAAAGCGGCTTTATTAGCGAATTTCTCTAATTATTTTTATTTCCTTTGGTGAGGAAGATTTGCAGCGATTATCAGCTCCCTAGCATTTATCTGTTTACTCTCACGTTGAATGAAATAATGAACGGATAAAAGATATCTTCAATTAATGGAAAACAGCAGGAACATATGAACGAATTGGCCAACTGCTACGGTGTTATTTTTTTTGTAATTTAAAGAAAAGTGCTCAAACGAAACGAAAGTCAAATGAAAAATCTAGGTTTGTAGGTATTTGCGTGAAATGTATCTCACTCCTGTTATGTCAGGAAGCTTAAGGCGCGGATCTCATTGATAGTGAAGGCCTTTTTTGCGCGAATAAAAGCAAGTAATTTTCTTTATTTATTTAAGATCGATATTCAATCCAAATATGTCGAAATCGCCAAAAAGCTTTCATTCAAGTGACGGGCCAAGGTTGTCATATCTCAAATTATTGTTCAAGGCTAAGGTTGAAGGGAGCGTGTAGTAAAACATTTACGAGTTCACCATTGAAAGTCATTTCGCGGGAAATATTGTCACTGAGTCGAATTTTTTCAACACGAACAGGCAAAAGAAAAGCCTTACTGTAAAAATCTCCCTGTTAGTAATTTCATATAAATATATGTAGCAAGCTTTTTTATCGCATAATTTGAGCTAAATGTAAGTGTTATCTTTGTTTTTGTTTTAATATCTGCAACTCAGTCCACATTGTACGCAAATATAAACTGAGGTATAGAATATTCACACATTTTGATCTCAAGGGGAAAATATTTAGGTATTGAAAATTTTCCGCAGAATTTTTGAGGAAACCTCTGTGTGACATAACAACAGAACTGCATTGGCTTTTTAATTAAAGCAGAAAAGCGAAAAAGGTCGCAAAGGGATTGAAATGCGTTTTAGGTTATTCAATATCGAATTTCTTTCAAATGTTGAGCCACAGACTTTCGACTAGCTAAATTGTGTCCTACACTTTAAAGCTGTTTTGAATATCCACTGTATTAAAAATTATTCATTCATGATGTGAGTTTTTATCAGTTCTTGACCATAAGAAACTTTATTATTTTCTCCACTGAGACATTTAACAAAGTTTAGAAAACATACATGGACAGGGTTGTCACAGGCGAAGAAAACCCAACCATGTATAAGGTGTAAACAGCCGAAAATATTTTGCTCTCAATCAAGGAATTATATTTCTGCACAAGGTTTAATCTCATCGCAAACCCAGACGAAATTTATTAAATTTATTTATGAATTAACACAACCATCTGCCAATGCAACGATCCGAGGCTTAACAAATAGCCTTCGCGAGATCGACTGAAAAGGACCACAATTAAAATTTGCATTAGTTTTCTCGTTCAAGAGCTGTACTTCTCTTTTATCAGAACAACAGTGAATTGTTCCTATTGGGCAAATACGAATACGTGCAACGAAACATGTAGCTATCGTTTTATACGGTCTGTTAGGCAAAGGTTCGGATTCTGGGCTGAAATTATGAACATCATTTGCGATAAGAGTAGAATATAGGTATGTACTGTTCACAAAATTCAGATGGAAAGAGTTTCCCTTAGCTTCTGATGCCTCCCTTGCCTCTCTTATTAAGATTGCCACATTTTTTTTTAACTAGTGTATGAAAACTTTCTAAATCAGTATAATCACAACAGGATTCAGTTAAGATTTATACTTTTCCATTTTACTCAAATATCATCACCAATTTTGCCTGTGTGTGCAAATTTTGATTTTGTAATGAACATTTTAGTGAACTGTAGACCTCATATATGTGCATTTAGTAAAAGAGAAATAACATTTGTTTTGACATGTCATGAAAAATCTCGATTATAGTTTCAGTGCTGTCGAAGTGATGTTTATATCTTATCTTAGTTTTATCCTCGGAGTTTGCAGTTTCACGACCGCAACGATGACGGCACAAAACATGGGGTGGTTGGACAATTCATCCTTTCAAAGCAGATGTCCACTTCGTGCCATTAATTTTCTCTCTTTTGATCAAGATTAGGGGCTAATTACGATTTACGCAGAAAATCAAAACCAACTTGCCGAGTGCGCTTTTAATAAATGATTACCAAACACGTGTTGGTGTTGTTCATGGCTGGCGCGCGGAGAGCGTCTTTGCAATAGGTTTCGACTTAGTGGCAAAATACTAGATTGTTCTTCAAGAGTTAATTGCAAAATAACCATTTCAAACAAAACAACAGCTTTAGTTTATGAATACATTAGAAGTTTTAAGAAAAGGATGCTCTTTTTATTGCCTACGAAAGCCATCATACATGCACACTCTAAGTAGTAAAAAAGCTTTAACAACTCAAGGGGCTTGTATTTATGGAAATGCAATAGCCGCCACCTGGTGCCGTAAATGGAAATTTTAATTTATCCGACTACTTCGCCCTATTTCTACCATTTGTTTTAGTGTAAGAGAAAACGAACCTCTCATGTTAAATTATTGTAAGCATTTTAGCGAATCCGAAGAATGCCGGGATTTGTAAGCGTGAACTGAGTTTGTAGTTCTCCCTTTATCGGATTCTCTTTTGCGATCGAAAAACTCCTTGGGAAAATTTGAAGAGCGCCCTGAAAAATAGGTCGAAAGTGAAGAGAACGAATATACTGCTCTTACTGTTTGGCAGGTTTATTTTCAACGGTTCGATAGTGGATCTATTTATAAGATGCAGCGTAATTTTGAAAGTAGGACCAATCTCATGACTCACTGCTCATTGTGCATTTATTTATTAGCTGTTCTTCGAAAGGCGTCTGTTTGCCTATTTACAATATGATTTCAATTTTAACGTTCGCAGTTCCTACTACAGCTTTTTGTTGCTAGTCTTTTATCTCGGCATTTCGTGCAGTGTTCCTTAAATGGTCTCCGTATGTTGCTAGTTTGCATGTTTTCCGGGTGTCACGCATGACAAAACACGATATAAAAAAAAGTTGATCTGCTTCCGTTAGCAATGCCAAGTTCATGTCGGTAGCTATAACCTTCCTTGTGCTCAATGGAAACTCCGAGCTCTAAAATATTACCTTGGAAATTACTTGTCCCATTCAATTCAAAGCAATTTTTTTTTGAAAAAAATCGTGCAGCTTCACCGTCGACAACTTTGGACCGGACACACACTGAGTTAATTATGGTTTTTGATGTGTCAGCGTTTTCGTACGCCTGAAAGTTTTTCAGAAAAGAGACAGACGTAAAAACTGTGAATTCTACTCAATTTGGTCTCTGAGTTAATGTTCTAAGACTCGACACACATTTAAGTTGGTTACCTTCAATTTCGCCTTGCGTGCTACAAGGCAGTCGTAGAAAACCAATTCACCCAGGTGTGGGGACAAATTAGCGAAATGTTTACGGGAAAGTCACGAAAGCTGACCATTACTGAAAAACTTATGTATAACATTAAAACATATCATTTAAGAGTGAAAAAGCACGAAGTTTACCGCTGGGTTATAAACTATAAATTCACTTTTTCTGTGGCACAAACCTGTTGTGTTACGATAGCATGTTGTGTGGCAATATGGCTCGGTTGTGATTTCAGACGTATGCGTTCAACGTAGAGTAGCTTTTAATTTTTTATTCATAAAAGTTGTTTTTCACCCTTACGTCACTTACATGTATAAGACGTTTTGTAATTGTTGCAAGAGGCGCAAATCGAGACAGATATCCGTGTTGAGTTCGTTTGCTTAAAATAAGTTGAGCCAACGGGGTGCGTCGCTCTGCACTCAACAGCACACGATCATGCAATGTCGTTTGGGGTTGCGATCCATATATGTTCTGTACAGCATATTGCAAGCCAACCCAGGGCATTTCCGTGGTTAAATTCTCTTCCTGGGTATTTTATAGGGTGTTTATGATGACTGTAAGCAATAAAAGTGCCTAGGTTTAGGTGTTACTCAGAGCGAGTACGGCCCAGTAACCCTTGTAACAAATTAACTCAGCGCCACTGTTCAGCACACAGATCTCTTTTACTTTCTTTAAATACACAATAGTCAAATCAAAACTCAGTTGGAATATAGAATTTCAGTTCCTAAGTGTCAAAGTTAAGTTTAAAATCACCCCTGAGAAGCCACAAAACATGGCGATCTCAACTGTGTTTACTATTTTTTCTTTTGGTGGAATTAAATCAGACATTATGAAAAACTAAATCCAGAATATTGGTTTAAAGAGCATCACTCCACTGTGTTACTACTTTCAATGCTGTTATCCCAAATGAAAACAACGCAGGCATTACAAACACACCATTCCTACATCAAGCACAACCGGGCCAAAAGAAGCTACACTGTACTAAAATAAAATAATAATAAAAAAATAAAGATGAAAAAAGGAGGCAGATGAAAAGGGCGCTGATTAAAACTGGTGCTTGTAGAAATGAAATCTAAAACGTAGAGAATCAACTATTACAGATATGGTAAATTTGATTTAATTTGCTGTACTGGGTATTCAGCACATTACGATAAATTTAGGACAATCAAGGAAATAAGCTAACCTATCTCAATAAATAAAAATTTATTATTTGCAAAAGAGCTCGTTTTAGGAAGTTTCGATACAGAAATTGTACTGCAACACATCAGCCCACGGGCTTTCGAACCCTCCGAGGCGTTCGGTAACTGATGCTAAACAGTGGACAGCAGATTCTCAACCTGCGAAGCTAATTTCAAGCTGTACAAAGATTGCAGCTATGGCCGCGTTGTAGCCTGATTAAATATTTTCTGCACATAGATGACTTAGCAAAAACTACATGTTTTGCCATTCGTAGATTCGACAACTTGTAATATAACAGTGAATTAGAAATAGAGCTGAAGTGACATCTGGACGAGATGAATATATTTATTAGGATTCTGTCCCATCTTGCAGCGAACTTCAAAGTTTAAACCCTGAACCAGTACTCTAGGTCAAAGTGAAAAATCCTGAAGCGATTTACAAATGCGAGCTTTAAACAAGAAAGTTTGAATAGACCGTCATGCAGTTCACAGTATATATAAGCTACATGTATGTAACTTCGGGGTTAATACGAGTGTTCGATATGGGTTCTACAGTTTTTGTGGAAAATTGCCATATCAGGAAAAATCGTCTGTTAAATCTTCCTTGTGAATAATCGAAATCTCAGTTAACTGAGCAGAACGTAGCTGTAGAATAACAAATAAACGGCTAAAATAAATAACTAAATCGAAAGTCCTGGTTGTAGTAATTCATACCTGTTATTGCATCATCATGAAGCCGCAGCATGAGATAAGTTTTTATTGAAGTCCAATATTACTCTTTGCTGACTCGGTTTAAACGTCGATTTGTTTTCAGTCTGTAATAAAAGAAACTTTCCTTCAATCGGGCGAGACGCTCAGTTCACTGTCGACTAAAAATGTTGGAAACAAAAATGAAGCAGGCATAAAGTTTCAATAGAGGTGTTTTTTTTTCCTCAATCGGCGCTGGAACATCCTTTCAGCTACGAACGAATGATAGAAACGACGCTCGTCGCGTGAAAAATCAGTGATCATGCGAGTCGAGGAAGACATTTCAGTGTCGGTTGCCTTATAAGATATCAGGACCAAAGTATTGTTACGACTTAAATTTTTAAGATGTAGTCGAGCAGTACTCAGTTTGGCAATTCCGCAACGACGTGAGGATGGCGGGAAATACATTTTACGGAATAAACAATCCAGACTGAAGAACACAGACTGATAAAAACACACAGTCTTCGATCAGTCTTCGTTTCTCTCTCTGTGCGCGTTTCAAGGGTTAAACATTCCATATAATGAGTCCACGATTTTTTTGAAAATTCATAAATTCAGCTCTGAAAATCCGATCAGGTAAGCAGTGTACCATGGCGAGGGATCTCAGTGGTTTCTTTCCCTGGTTTCCTCAATCCTTCTTAATAAAAAACACCCAAGTCTGGGTTCATCCGTCTTCTTGCATTCCATGCTATTTAGAAAACCAATGGAGTGCTAATCTTGATTCTTGCTTCCTTTCTAAATCCCTAAACAACACGGTGGCTAACTTTGAGCACAGCTGCTTGCTTTATCACCTCTCCCGAATTTTCACCGAAAGAAGTATCATCAGTCAGAGACGATTTAATGTGAGAATTGCACGTACGTTTGTAGATATATTAATTCCATCGACTGAGTCCGTTTGAAATCGTGACCAGAATTTCATCAGCTTGCACGTACCCACAAGCAAAGATATTAAATCACCTTAAGTGTGCAAACCTAAGCAGTGGTCCGATGGCCTTGGGAATTGAATTTGCTCGATGATTCTAAAGCTTGAAATCGTCAGTAGTAAATTTTTACAATATTTTACACAAGAGGAACAACTTTTAGTTGTAAAGTGTCGGTGAGTAAGGTTCAAGGACCTGATTTTATTTGCTACGTGACCAGTCGTCAGCAAGTAAACACTGGAATTCTAAAGAGCAATTTGCGAGTGTGTGCAGCAAGCAAGCGCGGCGATTAAAACATTTAATAGTTAAGGTTTCTTTTTTCGGGTTATTGCTCCCTTATATGGTCAAATTTCCAGTCATGCATGTGGTAAAAATTTCTTCTTTTTTGTTGAGTATTCGCCATCATGTTTTTTTGTTCGCGGTATAAATTTTGCCGCAAACAACTTAAGACCTCGTGCTTCCGTAAAAACTCATTAAAAAACCTACGCACGTACGCTTTACATAATGGCAGAGATAAAAATTATTTTCAAAACTATGCCTCTTCTTTTCTCATATCTAGCAAATATATCTGTGAAGACAACACTGCTGTGAGCACTTCTTAATTTTATGGGGATTTATGTAGCATAAATATATTTGCTATAACCCCAAATTACACTGGCCATATTCGGTTAATCTTCCGCTTCTCGTGGTAGTTTTCAAGACACGCAGTTTCATTCAATACTTTAAATTCCAACTACAGAACTCGAAAGATAATTACTTTTCCGATTGTTTTTTTTTTTTCATTTNTACACTGTCTTTTTTTCTTCTCTTTTTTTTTTTTTTTTTTTTTTTTTTTTTTTTTTTTTTTTGCTGTATTGAATGTTTAAAATTCTAGACGTGAAGGTCGATTTGTACTGAGCTAGCGTTTCGAAAAGCGTTCGCGAAGAAATAGGCCGGGCACCTTGTTCGATAGTAGGGGCTGGAGACTGCTCGTTAAGTCCATAAATAACAAAACAATCAGTACTCGAGACAAATTAGACATTTGACAGGTGAAAGTGAAGGAAAACGCTTCTTAGCGAGACTGAGTTGTATTCGGGTTTGTACCTGATTTGCTAAGAAATAAGCGCATTTCGCTCCGAATGATCAGAACATTTTTTAAATCATCGAGAAAATGAACGCTCAGGCCAGGCCAGTAGGCAGGATTACAATGCATACAGTCAAAACCCGATCTGTACTGACAACGTGGGTACACAGAAAGTGTTCTTATCACTGCGTTGAACAGAAAATTACGAGCTAGGAACCTCAGCGCAAAGACGCATTTCGCGTTAAAAATTCACTATAAATGAGTAACATAGTTACATTATAGCTACTGACAAAGTCAAGCTCTTTAATAATAAGCCATCACCCCGCTGGCTGCCAATCAGGGGGTGGTCTAGAACAGGAAGTAGTCTCTCTAGAAGATACTCGCTCGTTGGAGGTAGTCGCTTGTCGGAAGGTGGTCTAGATCTTTGTGGGAGACATTTTCTTATCGGAGAAAGCTGGCTTACGGGATCGAGGTTGTTGGAAGTCTGGTCGAGTCGTCTATCAAAGGGTGGTCTCTAATCAGAGGTTCGCCTTTGTTGGAGGTCAGTAGTTGCCTAAACAGAGTGGTCCCTAGTGGAAGGCAGAACTTTGTGGGAGGCCAGTAGTTAACTAAAGAAAGTGGTACCTGGTGGGAGGCGAACCAATGCGAGAGGCCAGCAGCTGCTAATCAAAGGGTGGTCCCATATGGGAGACAAAACTTCGTGTGCCGCCCGTAGTTGCGTATCAGAGGGTGGTAGTCGCCTATCAGAGGGTGGTAGTCGCTTATCAGAGGGTAGTCCTTTATGGGAGGTATAACTTGTAGTTGGGCTCACTAAGAGAAAACTAATTTAATTTCCGACATAAAACCACTAATCGCTGCGATGTAAATACAACGAATATAGAAGAGTATTTTCATGTCTTCTACTCGTTCGTTTTCCTGTTGTAGCTCAGTACTGAACCGATTAGTGTTCTTAATGACGGTTACCGTATACCTTCAAAGGTGCCTCGCGTCCAGGCGATGTAGCGCGTCCAGTTTGAAGTGTAGATAAATAAACCCCTACAGCAAATTATAGCTTATGGAGCTGGCTATCAAACTATACCAACAGTTTTGAAATAAATAAAATGAGTTGCAGAATTTCTCACGAACTCTGAATGCGAGCGTCCGAATCACCTTTTAAAGTTACAAGTCAAAGTTTTGTTTTGGTTGAAAGGAAAGTGCCTAGAATACACATTTGTTGGTTATGAGAGGCAAAAGATCATCAGACTTCGATATAATATGAAGCAACTTTTAATTTTAACAGCGTACTCGTTCAAAAATTAAGATAATGTTTTTGTCCTCAATTTCCAGCTGAGATTCCTTTGGATCTGCGTTTCATAGAAGAGCCAGCGGATACCCAGTTTGCGCATAATCGGTCAGCAATATTGAATTGTAGAGTGGAAGACAGACCGAGAGCTAATATCACTTGGAAAATCGCACGCTCTGATCACGTGATAAGCAGCAACATCACCGGCTTACGCTACATCTTTCCCAATGGTTCCTTATACTTCCCAGCCTTCACCGAGGACAGGTTTAATTTTTCTGTGCATAGAGCGGATTATCAGTGCGTTGCAAAGACACCAAATAACAAATTTGGAATCTTTGAAATCATCAGCAAGGTAGCCAAGTTACGTGCAGGTAAACTGGAGGGGGTGGGGTGTGCAGCAAACATGTCTTTGTTTAAGTTGTTTTGCAGGAAACCGCAAACTCATTACGAAAATGTTTATCGACTTCACTCTAACCAAGAAAAACTACATTGCTTGTCTATGAAGTGCACCATTTTTCGCTGGTACGTGTACGACGCAGGCCAGAAATCAAATCACCATCAATCAAAGTCAATCACGATCATTTCGTGAATGGAAATGCAAAGAAGTCGTTTCTTAATTATTAGAACTCAAACTTTGTCAAAAGTTTATTTATTTGGTAAATGTCATTTAATCAACTGCCCGCTATCCTTTTGGCCCACCAACTAATGATGATCACAAGATCTTAATCAACCGCCCCGAGAGAAATCGTGCTCCTTTACAGACTCAGAAAGGTTCGACGCGACCTTTGAGTGGTTGAAATTTGTTTTTGAGACAATTTTGATACTAAACCTGTGACAATTCGTATTTGTTACACTAACTAGTTTTGGCTTACTAATTTGTATCTTACATTTTCTCTGGTAGTTATCATTCAACCATACAAGATTTACGCACAAGACAGTTACGTAATTCGTGGAAACACGGCCGTTATTAAAATCGTGATCCCGGAGCATGTGCGAGATTACGTGCGTGTCGTATCGTGGCATAACGGACTCAATGTGATCACGTTAGGTGGTAAATATACTCTTATGCCATCCGGGGATTTGGTCATTACAAACGTGAACGATGATGCGGCAAAAGCCACGTACTACTGTACAGCGGTCAATATTCTGACAGGAGAGAAGCATTTTAGCAATCCAGCCAAGTTATTTTTGAAAGGTAAGGATGTACTAGTTGAACTAGAGGTGGCACATAATGCAAACAGTGAATTGCAGGTTTTACCCGGCATGAAGCGATTAGTCGTATCGCTACTCTCTCCTTAAATAGTGCCTGGAGTTGAGGCGCGGAATTTCAGTTGTTATCAGCATAACCCAGTCCCCTGATTGTTGGCAAACTCGCACTTTGATATAGCCACCCAATATTGATCGATAGAAGTCTTTTCGGATGGCGCCCGCTTTGCTTTGCTCGTTATGGACGAAAAACATAAAACAGAAACGTCAACAAATCAGTTTTACTGTTGTTCCGTGTCAAATACATTTAAGCTAAGATAATTACACTGCTTACTCTCAGTTTCATCAATTTTGGAAGTTGGTTCAGGAACTTCGCCCCTCGTAAGCTACAAGCTGAGAGAAACGTCCAGCTCGTTGTTGAAATTGTAATGTACATAGGCTAGCCCTAATCGTAGTATTGCCACCCTGGATAAGTACGTTCTGATACTTACAATATTTATTTAGACCTCGCATCTAAATGAATTTCGTCGAGTTGTTGGTTGGTAATTTACTTTAATTACAAGGATAAGCTAGGATCGCAAAAAGGTCTCCACTAACTCAAAACACCCAAAAATGCAATGATATACTTAAATATATGACCAGGCAATCTCATATTGAACTGAAACATGCATGACACATGCTGAAAGCAGGTCAAACTGTTTTGACTATAACTATAATATTACTGATGATTTGTGACCTTTAAGGGAAAGTAATGTAATTACATGAGATTCTCGGGATGTAACATTCACTATTCTCCTCTTGACCAGTCATTAAGTATTAGATACTTATTTGCTATCATTCTTTTAAAAGCATTTTTCTCTTTGTGGCTGTATAAGCAGGAAAAAGTGTGACGATATCCCGCGTAGCAAGTGTTTCCGTGTGGTTGGGGAGCAAAGAAAGCCCGAGGAACGGGATTTTCGGTGTTGTGCCCGCGCAAAAAATGGGGCGAGAGTCATTTCGCGCGGTAATTCTTTGCTCCTGATCATGAACTCCACGTAAACGCTTGCTACGCTGCAGGTTAGGTGAAAAAAAATTACTCCCCAAATTTTCGAGTAAGCAGCAAAGTAGCATTCAACTTCGTTGTCTTCCTTTCCAGAGCAACAACCTTCCCCTCCCAGGATCCTGAATAAAGCATTCAACATCACAGTAACGGAAGGAGACACCAGCAAGCTTCAGTGTATGGCGGAGGGTTACCCTGTACCCACGATGGAAGAGTACACGTGGAAGAAGGATGGAGTCCCAAGACAGATGGGGGAACGTTTTTCAAGGTTTGCGGGTGGCAGTCTACGCATTGACAAGACACAGTTTGAAGACCAGGGCTTGTACGAGTGTACGGTGAAAAATTCGAGGGGCTCCGCAACCCTTCATATGTACCTGACTGTATTGGGTTAGTGTGAAAAATGCTTTTGTCTTTTTGACCTTTTCACTTGTCTCTCCATGAACCAGAGACTAACCATTTTTTATTGACTATGTTTGGCCCTGATTCCGGAAGCACGGTGGCCTCACGGTTAGCGCGCTCGTCTCTGGATCAAGCAGTCTGGGTTCGAGTCCTGGCCGGGGACATTATGTTGTGTTCTTGAGCAATTTACTTTATTCTTGCAGTGCCTCTCTGTATCAGTGAGTACCGGCAAATTTAATGGTGGAAGTAATCCTGCGATGGACTAGCATCCCATCCAGGGGAGAGTAGAAAACAGGAAATCGCCAGCCTGATTGCCCACTTGGCTTGTATGCAAACTTTACCTTTCCCTTTGACCCACATATTGCACTATAGTCATCCTGAGGTAGCAACGTTTCCCCTAGAACATATAGTCCCTGCAAAAGAGGTAATGAAGGGTTAAGACTTAAGGGTTAACTTAGTGCAAAGTTTCTCCCCATACTCTAGGTTTTTTGAAGGGACATTATAGAAGAATGATTCACTGAAGTGTTCTCTGTTTCTTTGTTTAAGTTCCACTGAAATTTGTCGCTCGACCTCGGAGGAAAGTCGCCTCTGTGTCTTCAGGATATATCATGGAGTGTGACGTAACCGGTCAGCCTAAACCCAACATCACGTGGCTTCTGAACGGTAAACAATTCACTGGTACGTCTCGGATCAGCATCAAACCCAACAGACTCGTGTTTTCTGTAATCTTCGGCGGCGATATTGGTGTGTACCAGTGCGTCGCCGACAACGGCCGGGAAGTGGTGCAGAGTAGCGCCGTTCTCATTACAGCAGGTATGTGCGCGCGCATAACGTCATCTTCATTGAGATCCCTTGGGATTGTGGGACGTGCTGTAATCCGCTCTATTGATGCAGTGACGCCATCAGTATCAGTCAACTAACGTTCCAGTAGTAATTCGTCATGAAAACTAAGAAAGTCTCTAAGCGCACTAAGGTAAAAATCAGAAAGGAGGGGTTGTTGTATGCCATGAACAGAACAATAAACGGGAGGGAGAAGATAAACACGAACAAACAGTTGAATGTGCAAATGGAAGGATACACTTTCGCCCAAATCCCTAAAAAATCAGTAAATCATCAGAAACATTTATTATCTATTTTTCAAAATCGACTAGCTAAAGACGTTTTTTTAGAAGGCTTACTCTTAATTTTCTGTTTCGAATAATGTTAGAAATGTTTTCATTGTTATCCTGTATTTGCGAGAAATGTTTTAAAAAGTGAATTGGGGGAAGGGGGGGGGGGGAAGGCTGGGTCGCAGCCGATGCTGTACAAACGTTATTTGAAGCTTAACTGTCAATTACGGCTGCTTGACAACATGGAGGCATAAGAAGCAACAAGGCGTCGAAGCAGAGTCAATGCTTTAGTGATCGCAACTTTTCAACGCTGTCACGGCGTCGAAAGCTTGCGATCGCTAAAACATTGACTCTGCTTTAATATCTTGTTTCTTATTATGTCTACTACAGAGTCGGGAAACAATATCTTTACTCGATCTTCTCTTTTATCAGAGCGCAATCCCTCAATTACCTCCAGTGCCCAAAACGTTGTTCTGAAACCCGGCCAAGGCCTGAATGAATGGTGCAGAGCATACAGTCATGCAGAACCAGAGATCACGTGGTACTTAGATGATCAGCAAGTGCATGATGGGTATGGATACAGTATTACGTCATCTCGGCTGAGCGAGGCCAAGCAAAGTACTCTGAAAGCGGATAGCATGGATGTGAGGAAAAGCGGGCAGTACAAGTGCGTGGCCTGCAATATTGGAAATTGCACTTCAGAAGTGATTCATGTCTACATTGAAGGTCAGTACTGGGAACTAACTCTACTCCTGTCTTGCTACTCGCCTGTCTACAAAGTGATATGATTGGGGGCGGGGGAAGGATCTTGGCAGGGAGGAGTCAGTCTCTTGCATTTCACGTTACGTAGTCGTTTACATACCTCTTACTAACCGAGTTCGAGGGCTGTACTGTAAGTTACGGACAGAAAGTTACGGACCGAGTTTTTTCCCCATCGCCACAAATCGAAGGGAAAAATGAGGATCCGTAACTTACAGTACAGCCCTCTCTACTGTGTGTCCGCCAAGTTCAGGAACGATTTCTATTCACACGGAACGGCTTCAAATTTCTGACGCATGTCGAAAGCAAAACGAGTCAATTTGAAATCGTTGTTAAGTGACCCTTAAGTCGTTAGCAGGTTTCAATGCACAATTTTAGAAGTAAAAGAAAGTTTTAAACTTTTACTTGCTATAAAAGTTAAGAACACTTGGCGATAAATCGCGAAACATTTTGGCAACAAAAACAGCTTTAAGTTTTAGCGGGCCGTACAGTAGAATACGACCCGCTAAATTGACCAATCACAGCGCGCGTACTAACTGAGAGATATAATAAGTGACCTTAGTAGATGGCTTCTTCAAAAGTTAAAGTTACTTCCAGAAATGTAAAAACGGACGAAGTCAAAGTCATATCATACCAAATTATCACCAGGTAGCCTTAAGGAAAAGTCACCAAATTTGGAGCGAATTAGAAGTTACAAGCGTTCAAAGTTGCCTAGGGCCTCAAGAGCTCCACCACCCTACCACGCACGGTCTTAATAGAGTTCAACGGGTAGCTGTTACTTTGTCTTTTCAATTGAAACTAGACATGTGACATGTCAAAAATACCAGGTTCTAAGAAAGCTTAGCATTTCTATAAATTTTTCAACTTTTTCCTTTTTTATGAAAGTTCTTAGTACTAACGTTTTGAGAATGATTAAATCTTCTGATAACTCAAATAAAAGGTGAAAAAAAAAACGTTTGAATATAAATTACAGTTTGATTGAATGTTGTAGCTAAGGCTGCCTTTTTCCAGTGACACAATTCTGTTTCAATCACTCAGGTACGACGAATATAACATCAATACCACGTGACTTTAATGCGACTCGAGGCCAATCCGTTCAGCTGCCTTGTGTAGCAAAAGGTTATCCAGTTCCAACCGTCACGTGGTCTAAAGATGGAGCCAGCATCCCTTTTAACCAGCGTCAGTCAGTGTCAAGTGACAACACGCTTCATATCTCCAAGGTACAAAAAGGAGACGCTGGCCGGTACAAGTGTACAGCGGTGAACAGTGATAACAAGAGAGATGAAGGATACGTGGTTGTTTCAGTTTTCGGTAGGTGACTAGGAAGATGTTTCAGCTGCATGTAGGGTTATGTTCCGCCATTTATATAGGAAGTTTAAGAATCCAGGACGCGACACCGAGGACAACGTCGATTAAAAAATGATTTTATAGTTTAGCTACCAATCTCGCGATACACTTAAGTCATTTTCGTTTGTTTCTCAGTGTCAAAATTATCACGAAACTGAATCTGGGACAGGGCGAAACATTAGCCGCCGTGGTTCACGTTCTCCAGACAACGCAGAATCTGGTCAGTTCACGTTACTGTTTTGCAGAGAACGGCAAAGAAATTTACCAAGAATTGTAACGCACGTGCACAGCCATTGTTCTGATCATTAAACTTTTTGTTTAGCGACGTTCCTGTTCCCGTTGCCGTTGCCGTCGTGGTTTTCTTAAACTCCCTAAGAAGTTATTTATGCACACCTCACGGAACCTTGCTTTGTTGCCAAACGCGTGAAAGTTTTCAAGTCGATACCGGATTGATGTAGACATGCCCAAAATAGATCAGAAAACATACACACTAGTCATTTCTAATTTCTAATGGTGATAAACAATTATTACCTCAAAAGTGGTTGCTTAATTTCACTACTTTAAAAGAACTGCCTCCTCTAATGAGGAAAAAAGCCATAAAAAATTTCTCTTTTGTAGCAGATGGAAGTCTGAAAGGTTACTGACTTGTAAACTGTTTATAGCAGGACAATATTCTTTCGTGCTTCTTTCTGAAAATAGTCGCTCCATCTAACAAGAAGAAAGGTCTTTACGATTCAAGTGGCCTTGAAGTGAAGTGAAGTGAAAGACTTTATTTAATGAGGGTGACCCGTGACAGTAACTTAAGTTACTGATAAACTTGGGGCCCTCAGCTTNTCAGAGGCGTTTCTGTGAGAGGGGCATAATAAATTTAAATTACAATTTCTAGTACTTCTCGAATGGACGTCAGAGTTTTTCCTTAAAGATGTGTTCATGGCCTTTATGGTCCTTTATGATTCTCTCTTTCGCTTGGCCCTGACAGATCTGGGTTCCTGACTAGAATTGCTTCGTTCTATGTTGCATGAAACGAATAGGTCGAATAGCGTTACTCCAAATTTCCATATGGGACACTAGCATACCTAATTCTCAGTTCTATTATATTAGGTTTACACCCCTCTTAAAGCTGCATACTGAGCTCAATAAACATTTCTTTTGTTGTTTCTCAGAACTTCCCAGTCCAACATTATCCCATCCACAAGTGTGGCACGAAGGGGATGGTGGCTCTTTCATTTGCTCTTCCTTCACTGGTGACTTGTGGGCTGGTTCACTGATGTTCAGATGGCAGAAGGACGGACGTGATATTTTCTCTATCCCAGGCGTAATTGTTATCCATAATCCAACAGCTAAAATGAGCATTCTTGAATTTAAGCGGCTGTCTGCGGGGGACTCGGGCGAGTATACATGCATTGCGAGCAACAGAGCTGGAAAGACGAGTGTGTCCGCAGACATAGTTGTTTATGGTTTGTGTCCAGTTAAGAACTTAATAAGAAAATTTTTCATAGAATGTAAATCCTCCTCTGGCTTCTGGTTAGAACAGCTCCTGTCGAATATTTTTTCATGAGATTTTAAGTTTCCTTAGCGGGGTTACAATTTTCTTTTTGTTTTTGAAGAAATCTGGACTGAAGATTTGCCAAAACACTGCATTAAAAAATGTAAACATTATAGTGTTTGGATGTTTTGACATTTTCAGCATTATCTCCAAGGCAAAAAGCGATTGTATCGAGGTACCAAATGAACATATTGAATAACGAAAAATTTGGTTTTTACTTTAAGAACATTTATCTCCTCGAATGGTTCCTTTACTACATTCTTTTAAGTCTATTTACTTCGTGACAGTTACAATCTTTCACACGTTACTGGTAAAGAAAAAACATTCAAGAACCTTCTTTTTTTTTATGAGGTAGTTAACGTCATGAAAATATTTGTCTTTGCTTGCCATTAGTGCCTCCAAAATTCATCTCTGACTCTGGCGATCAACAACAACCTAGCACTCAACCGGTTCTTAAAACCTTTACAACCTACTTGACATGCCTGACATCCGGGACACCACCTCCACGTATCGACTGGTTCAAGTCAATTGGCGGGAAATTTGATCCAGTGTTGATGGACAAGCCTCGCTTTCAGAAAACGCTGAATGGGACCTTGGTGATAAGTAACGTGAGTGAAGATGATGCTGGAGAGTATTTGTGTAGAGCTTCTAATGCAGTCAGTGACAATGAGATCAATCGTCGAGTGCGACTTATAGTTCACGGTATGAAACGCTTAGAATGGTAACAGCTCTGTTAAAACTTCCCTCCCCTGTCTTTCAAGACCCCCGCCATTCTTTAATAATATTCACCCTCCTACAACTTCAATTATTTGATAAACTCTCATCCTTGAATTAATGCTTCCTATTCACTTACCAAGCCCCTCATCCCAAGATTAAAAGCTAAGCTGTCATATGAAGCGGGAAATAATTGTTCAAGTTATCCGCTTACCACGTTTATTTTTGCTGTTACACTTTTTTTTATGGACATCTGTAATTGAAGAAAGATAAACGTAAAATATTTCCCCACATCTATTTTTATTCATGGTAACTGACTGTACCAGGTCCATACTGGATAGTGGAAAAAATGCGAAATAGTCATACACATTCAAACAAAACGAAGGCAATAAAGGTCTTTTAGTGTCTTCTTTCTCTTTACGATCACACGAATATCTTATTCGTTCCTCAAAATCTCTGATCTATAAAAGAGTAATATTTGTGGCCTCAAACAGAGCCAGTTATAAAACTCGGGCGTGTGTCTTTTAGGTTTTGCAAACATGTTTGCTGGAGGCGACCTTTCCATAGCTAGGTGTATGTACAATTATAAATAAACTTGTAATTTCCTCTAATACCGATTAAACACCCCAGTGTGGTTTTTGTTTTTGACAGTTCTACAGTTTATCGGAAGCAAGTGCTTATTAAGCAAAGGTTTCTATTCGTTATTTTCGACAACCATTTATCTTGCTGTCATTTAACCTCGGATCTTGACGGGACTATTTACAACTCATGTTGAAGAGCCGGCGTTTAATCAGGAGCTCATTTTACCTCTAAGACATGTAAACGCAAGATACAGATCACTACAGGAAATTATTAGTTTTATTTCGAAGCATTGCGCACCTTTTTTAATTTGTTGTGTTTATCTTGTCCAGCAGTGCCAGCCAACATCGTGACTGCGCCTGCAAACACACCGGCCAGGGTATCCGATGACGTCACGATCACGTGCATGGCCGTGGGAAATTTGCCAATCGACGTAACTTGGTTTAATGGAAGCAGACAAATGTCAGACAGCTCTCGAATCAGCATAACAGATAATGAAGAGACTAAACATTTCAGGGTTAACAGTACACTGGTTGTCAAAACCCTGGTTCTACAGGACACCAGACAGTACTCATGCAGGGTCACAAACCGGTTTGGAAGTGACACAAAGACATTTCAAATCATAGCTCAACGTAAGAAATTACCTGATATCTTTTTGTTACTTTCACCCACTAAATAGTTATCTTCTGAGTTGAACTTAGCCAGAAGGGATAATTTCATACACGGCACAAGTCTATGTTGGGTAAAATAGATCAATGCCGATGATTTTCCAGTTTTGCTGACTTTGCCATTTCTCATTTTACTTCATGTCGACAACTGGATTAGAAATTACCGACAATAAGTTGAACGGCACTCCCAAATACCAAAACGCCGCTAGTGAGGCGAGGACAACATTTTCTTTGCAACTGGTCGCGCAACAGTGTTGTACTGTAAACTGACCGTACATTACATTTATTATGCTCATGCAAGTTTTAATAGCTTTCGAACGCCGGCGTAATTCCGGAGAGAAGTGACAACCGGAAATATAATACGTCTGCGCTGGCGGCTACCTCAAGTTGCGGCAGAATGCATGTTGTACGAAGTTGAAACCATGTCCATCTACTTCGTGGGTCAGGTTGCTGCACACTTTAACACGATCAGTAATACGCGCAATAACGTCCTTAACTTGCAATTCAGCTTCCTTCCGACTGGGGACAAATTGCTAGAAAACTGATGTTGCTCATATTAGACCATATTATGGGTTTTTACTGGATTTTTTTTCCTTAGAAAGCTGTTGGATCATTAGAATAAAATGACAGTTGATAAGCTCTACCACTAACTGATTAGGACCTTGCTCAGTATCTCCACCTTAGAATAATTTCATAATATTTAAGTTTGTTGTTTAATTTGCCGATTTATTTAATATTTTGTTTATCAACTACCACAGAAAAGCCATCCCCTCCTTCGAAACCGGATGTGAAGGAAGTGACCGCGCGGTCTATTTATCTTACCTGGGCACCAGGATTCGACGGTAACGCGGCAATCACTGAATACACTGTAGAGTTCAAACCAAGTACGAGCAGCTGGCAAGAGAGTGAGAAAAGAGTAGTCAAACTATCCACTGGTCTGCTTGTTGACGGGCTCAGACCAGCGTCTAACTATGACTTGCGCGTTTACGCGGAAAACAGGCGAGGCAAAAGCGAGGCCAGTCGTTCGACATCACATGTGACCTTGGAGGCTGGTAAGCGGCATTCTGAAATTGTTGTTCTTGATCTGATTTTTGTACTTATCTTGGCTTCCCGATTCTGGCTTACAGCCAATGTCAAAGCACCAGCACTCCGTGGCGGGGTGGACAACCTTTGCCATGTAGAAGTAGATATATGCAATTGTTTTTGGAGCGAACAAGACTATTTGAAATCACTTCAGTCCCTTCAGCTTAGATCTATTGTTAACCAACATTGGGGCAGTGATAAACCTGAGTTGCATAGCAACAATTCGTCCTCTTTTTCCATGCTTGATGAACCAAAATAATAGTTATTTAACAGGTCACTTTACATTTGTGTGCTCAGTTACTTGGCCTTTGAATGTAAGCGAAGCTGGAGGTGAGCAGCTTTGATGCAAACTAGTTAGCATTAGAACACTGTATCGTAAAACAAGGTCACTTCCAGCCTTGCTGCCATTCAAAGGCGAGGTCATTAAGAAGACCACTGTAAAATGACCTGTTGACTAAATCTTGAATAACGGTATATTTGGAAAGACTTTTTTCCACTGTTCCTATTACCATATGCCGAGTTTAAAAATGACATACGTTTTGTTCTGTTACGGGATTTTACTTGTAACATTAACAAGAAAACATATTTACAGCGCCATCACAGCCACCTGAACTGGTGAACGTCACTGCAATCTCGTCCAAGAAGATTTACGTGCAATGGAAGGTAAGAAGTCTTTTATTCGAGATTTTCACCCGCATGAAATTTGCAGTGCTAGATTCAAGAAATCAGTGGCATTTCTTTTTCAGCCCCGAATTCATTTGTGCCCAAAGAGTCTAGCTAGCAGTATAAATTCTAGAATATCTTGGTATATATCGGACGCTTAAAAGGGAAGAGAGCAGAAAAAGGAAGAGGGGAGGAGAAAATGGTAAACATCTTTATCAAAACTGAAAGCTACGGTTGACTAGAATTTATTAACGCCATTTTAATCTCGAGGGCTTCAAGTTTGTTAATTACGCGTATCGCTGGAGATTTTGCGAAAATCAAACGCCATGCAAACATTTGTGCTTGGAAAAAGAAACGTTAAAAATTATCCGAGTTTTTCATCGCTCTCATGAAAAGTTCGGTTGCGGGTTACAAGTTTTAGTGACTTCAAACCTCGCGCCAACAGCGGCGCCAGGATAATGTTATTTGTGTGTGTGTGTGTGTGTGTGTGTGTGTGTGTGTGTGTGTGTGTGTGTGTGTGTGTGTGTGTGTGTGTGATTGTTTGGGGATAGAAGCACCATTTCTGTTAATAAGATGAACAAATGTTCGTTTAGGTTTCAAGGTTTTGACATGTCTGTAGTTTCTATTCAACTTTTTCCGCGGACACGAACAATCTTAGAGCAGCCTCTGATCAATGGAAAAGGATACTTGTTCTTATGCCTTTCTAAAAGTTCAATACGGTTATAATTAAATCTCTCATTTATTTTGTATAGCCTCCTCCCGTATCAAGCAGAAATGGCGTGATTCGAGGATACTTTGTGCTTTACGAACAAAGGAACAAGATCTACAGAGGAAAAAACTTAACAGTGAGAGGAGGCGATAAAAGGAGTTATGTCATCGGTAACCTTGATCCTTACAAAACATACACCATAGAAATTCAGGCGTTTACACGGGCTGGGGTAAGCCCAAAAGGAAAGGCACAAGAGGAAGTGGTCACACATGAAGACGGTAGGTTCACTGTTTTAGGAAATCATTCACACTGTGATGCATTAACAGATTAGTTGTTTAATCTTGATAATGATCGTATCAATCAAAGCCAATTGAGATCTTGAGGGAATTAGCTTCTCATGCTACAGAAACCGGCTTGATTCGAGTACTGTATGCACTAAGTAACGCGAGGAAATCTTTCATTCAACATTTTTGACTTTTTTTTTCTATCCCTAGTTCCCAGTCAGCCTCCCCACTCGGTCAAAATAACAGTGCTTAGCTCGCAAAGCATGGAGGTTACGTGGAGTAAGCCGCCGTCGAACGCAATCAACGGTAAACTTCTGGGCTATAGAGTGTATTACTTCAGCACAAAGAACCCGGATCAAGTCTTCAATCGGACTGTCACGAAACCGGATGAGAGGAATGTAACTCTGACAGGGCTTCGTAAGTTTACATCATACAGAGTCAGAGTCGTAGCGTTTACTCGTGTAGGAGAAGGAGTTGCGAGTTTTCCAATAGGAGGAACAACGCTCGAAGACAGTAAGTGTGAATGTATTGTGGGCTTTTAATTAACAGGTTCTATTTAACAATTAGATTATAAGCACGAGATTTCTATCGTGTGATAGTTGATGAAGGTGTAACCTGAGTCAACCGATCACGCATTGAAATCGAGAGCGAATGATCTAATTGGTTTAGTTTAAAACTACTCACGGTCAATCAAACGTTATCGAAATCCTCTTCACAGACACTTCGGTAAAAGCTAGGAAGCTCCGCCCCCCCTTTGTTAACAACCGGGCGCTGCTACGCTACTCACTATCTACTTAGCAATTAGATTATGAGGTCGAGATTTCTATCACGCGTAGAAATTCAGAGCAAATAATCTAATTGTTTTAGTATAAATCTACTAATCGTTCAAAACTTTATCTAAATCCTCTTCACAGCCACATCGAAAACGCCAAGAATCGGCCGTCATTTTTCTAACAAGCACACGCTGCTACGCTACTCAATATCTGTCACAGAATAGATAGTGAGTAGTGTAGCCAATCAGAGAACGGCATTCGTGATAGAACGCTAGTAGATTTATACTAAAGTACAATAGATAGTGAGTAGCATAGATAATAAGAGAACAGCATTAAGAGTGAAGAATGATCATCGCAGTTAATTTTCCAATTTAAGCAAAGAAGAAGAAGAAGAAAAAATCAGGGCTTCAACGGGATTCGAACCCGTGACCTCCGCGATACCGATGCGATGCTCTACCAACTGAGCTATGAAGCCACACATCGGGAGC